ACTGATGGAAGGATTGATGCTGGGTTTGCCGACGAACTGCCCATGAAGATCCGCAGTCTGCCGATGGTTTTCCAAGATGTTGTAATGTCCAAGCTGCATACCGCTATCCTTACCAATGACCCAGAATCGAACCTATACATGTGTGGGTTCGGGCCTGGTGGGAGATTAGGCACAGGCGACGAAGCTACCAGATTCAATTTTGTCTGCATTGAAGGAGGAGGAATAGCGGGGAAAAAGATCATCAACGTCGCCCTGGGCCAGGACCACTCCATTGCAATTTCGGACCTGGGAGAAGTGTTCACTTGGGGCAGCAATAAGTACGGACAGCTTGGCTACAGTCTCCCACGCACGAACCAAAAGGACGATTCACCCATCCAAACTACCCCAAGACAGATTTTTAACCCGTTCAAGAAGGAAACTATTATCGGTGCTGCGGCCTCCGCCATCCATTCCGTCGTCTATACATCGACCTCCATCTACACTTTTGGGAAAAATGAAGGGCAACTTGGCCTGATAGATGCTGATGCGCGTTCGCTCGAGATGCAAGTGGTCCCGCGAAAGGTTGGCGCATCACTTTTCAACCAGTCTATTTCTATGGTATCAGCTATCGATCGTGCAACAGCAGTTCTTTTAGAGAATCATGAAGTGTGGGTTTTCACCCATTATGGGTACTCCAAGCTCACTTTCCCTCTCGATGGTGCCTCTTCTTTCATTAAGGATAGCTTCTCGGCCACAAGATATGGGCTCTCCGCTAATTTCGTCACTAAAATCAGCGGTGGTGGAAATACAATCTGTGCCCTGTCGAGTTTTGGAGAGGTGTATACCGTGAATGTCAACCGGAAAGCGGACACGCATTCTGTTTCGTCTTCGACGACGAATCCGTCTAAGATCAGAAACTCGCTTCCCCAGCCTTCGCGTGTGTGGTCCCTCAGAAAATCGCACATGGCAGTGCGGGACGTCGACGTCGGCCAGGATGGTTCGATCATCATATGCACCGAGTCTGGCTCGGCGTGGCGGAAAGAACCCCGAAGTCGTTTGAAGGATACGGGAACCATTACATTTGGCGAACGTCAGACCAAGGACTACAAATTCGTTCGCATCCCTGGTTTGTCTCGGGTGGTTGCGGTTAGAAGCAATGCTTTTGGAGCGTATGCTGCTGCCCAGCGTGGTTACGATGTGACCAAAACTCAAATCGTTGTGGAAGATCGTACAATTTGGCATGACATTTGGCCTCTTTTGCCGTTTAAAGATCTTCTTAGTAGGCACGTTCTTGAGGACATTACGGCTCCAGCCAGCATTACCGGTACACCAAATGGAATTGGGCTGAACGCCCAAAGGGTTTTGTTGCCGACTGAACTTGAGGATGAGTTGAAGGAAACGCTGCAGGTTCGTAATCCCCTAGATGGATTCCCAGCGCTTGTTTGGGTTTCGTCAACTTCCTCGGATGTTCGAATCCCGGTCCATGAATTCGCACTCGCCGCCAGAAGTCCCGTCCTTAGACATGCGCTTTCGGAATTCCGCAAATCGTATTACTATTCAGTTCCTGATCTCCTTTCAATTGAGTATGACAGTGATGGACAAGCTCATATCCAACTCCAAAACTTTGACATCCTGTCCGCCTTTAACCTTGTTTTATTCATTTACACCGACCACACGTATAGCGTCTGGAACCGAATTAGACACGATGCGAACAACGCCCCAAGGTACCGCCAAGTACGCCTTGAAGTGATCAAGCTAGCGACACAGCTTGATCTAAAGAGCCTCGAAAGGGCTGCAAGGTTGATGATACCGCCGAAGCCATGTTTGAACCTTGACATGGAGCATGCAATTTTAGAACCTACCTTTTTTGACAGTGGGGACGTGATAATTGACCTCTACAGTGGAGAAGTCAGAGCTCACGGGCCTATTCTTTGTCAGCGGTGTCCTTTCTTCGATGCATTGTTTAACGGTCGAGCTGGCGGTCGCTGGCTATCGTCTCGGAAAGAAAGGTTCTCCGACTCTGTTGACGTAATCCGTGTCGATCTCAAGCATATTGACCCGGGAATATTCAAATTTGTGCTGCGTCACATATACGCGGACACCGATGATGACCTTTTTGAAGATGTCCAAACTAACAATTTGGATGACTTTATTGATATCATCATTGATGTTATGTTCGTTGCGAATGAACTTATGATTGATAGGTTGGCGCATGTCTGTCAAAAGTTGCTAGGAAGTTTTGGTACGTTTGGTCCCATTCTATGCTTCTTTGAATTCGCTAACAGGATCAGTTGATATACGAAATGTGGTTCCTTATTTGAATGCGGTCGCTCCTTGTTCCGTCCCCGCTTTCAAACGAGCTGCACTCGAGTATATTTGTCTCAATCTCGAGGTTATTCTTGAAAACAGGTGACTACGTCTAGGTATCTTGGAATAAAGGTCAGGACTAACGATCTTTGTGTGTCCTCCCTAGGCTTCTTGACAGGCTGGATCCCGACTTGTTTGATGAGCTCAATGAAACCTGTCGTCAAAACCAGATGGCCTGCCAGCCAATCTCAAGATGGAGGAATACCGAAGAGTATGTAATAGAGAAGTATCCGGAGATAGTATCGCGACTTGAACAGGATAAGCAGCGACGAATCGATTCTATGAGGTTGCGCTCTCACTTATATGAAGATGAAGAACGGGAACAGAAATTCAAAGTGGGAAGCACTGAGAATCATGGGTGGCTCTCACCTTCCGCGAAAAAGAAATCGTCTCTTCAAAATTTGAATTCAAAATCGTCCATGGAGAGCCCCCTTCTTAAATCAAAGCCATCCGCCGGGGATTTGATATTTCCTATGGATGACGAGGGGGTCCTCCCTTCCAGTGCTATCCCTGCGGCTCACTATAGTCCGAACTATAAACTCGATACCGATAGCCTAAAATCCGCTAGCCATGCCTTGTCAAGAGTAGCCGCATCGGATAGCGCTAAATCTCCCTCCGTCAAAGCTACTTCTCGAGTTGAGGGGCATGCAACACCGGCTGTTATAACGTATGAGCCGAGCTCAGATAAGAATCACAGACCTGCCGGCGCCCCATGGGGACCCTTCACAGCTACTCCAAGAGCGGGCTTAAAAGATATCATGGCTGAAGCTGCAGGGTTCTCGAGTGCATCATTGTCGCATTATATTAACTCGCGTCGCGAAACAGATGCGCCCCGACCTGCTCCCTCTAAGCTCTCTCAAAAGGAACGAAAGAAAATGAAACAGCAGCAGATGCAGGAAGCTTCCACTGAAGCAGAGCCGTCCAAAACCGAATCACCATCGCCATGGCAAATTCCTCGGAGGAAGCTTCAAAGTCCTTTTACTGCAGATAGAGAACAAGAGGATCTGCCTTCGGTGCCACGGCGAACGAGTAGCAAGGCCCCCTTAACTCTCCGCCAGACCGTCGCTGGAACACCGCCTCCTCCATCAAATGATGAACCCGAGTCATCGTCATCCCCCAGCCTTAAACCCAGTACCAACCAACATAAACCGGGAACGGATACGAACACGGTACCCTCAACGACACCTAAATTTTCTGCTTCCCCCCCACTCCCCCTTGCCGCGATTCTTGAACAGCAGCAGTTCGAGAAAGATATCATTCGCGAAGCTGTAACGGCAAAACATAACCTTCACGACATCCAGATCGAACAGGAGTTCCAGGAATGGTGGGATGCTGAGAGTAAGCGTGTGATGGAGGAAGAAGCCGCTGCTATCGCTGCAGCTGCAGCTGCTTCTGCTTCCACTAGTCGAACTAGGGGTAGCGGAAGAGGGAGGAGTAAAGGCAGAGCAGCAGGAGGAGCAGGCGGTGGTAGTAGTGGTGGTCGCGGACGTGGCCGCGATTCCCGAAATGCGGATAAAAATAACACCGAACGGGCGACTTCTGCCCCCTCTGAGCCTCCTCCTGGCGCTGCTGGTGGCGAGCATGCACGGTCTGGCCACCGTCAGCAGCGAAACGGGCGGACTAATGATCGTGGCAGGGGAAGTGGTCCGACCCGCTCTGGTGGCGCTGGTGGTCGTGGTTCTGGCCGTGGAAGAGGGAAAGCTTCACAAGCGCAGCAGTAGAGACTGGAAGGGGAAAAAAAGTTAATTGTCGCCTTGGCTGCTTATGAGATGAGTCTTATAAACAAAAAGCTATCCGTTGCGGGGCAAGTTCTTCTGTACTAATGCATGGTGTTGATAATATACTCCGTACGGAGTACCCCATTCTCATTTGCAATTCTGCTTCTGTAAATACCTGTATAGCTATGTATGTCTATAGGTGTTGAAAGGGAGTTTCTTGAGGTGCTTGATGATATTGACTTTCGGCACCTGTGTGGGGTTGAGGCTCGAGTACAAGTTTAAGGTGTATTGTCGACGCCATACTTACACATGTATCATACAAACACTTCCACGATTCTTCAAATATTTCAGAGCTGATCAGGTGCGGCCCTTTGGGCTGCTCAATGTTGATTAAAAGGAAAAGAGGCTTGAAAGAGCATGAGAGCGCTGGTATAGCCCATATACATAATGCGCTCTGGAGCCAAACGCAGTAATAAATGGAAATTAAAGAAAAAGCAGATCAATAGTTGATAATTATCCAACCTGTGAAAGAGTAGCCGGAGAAATCAATATCAAACATCAAGTCTCGGATTCCAAATTAGTGAGAATCCGACAGAGCACATACGTAAGTAACGCGATAATATCCCATAAAATCCCATGCCATACACTAAAGCCAGTCAGGAGTGTGACTGACGGTAAAACCCAGGTTATCCAGTCCGCAATCTAAAGAAAAGCAATGCACAACCGCTAACCAACCATATGCAAAACAAAGAAAGAAAAAGCCCCCGGGGCGCCGGGGGGGGGAAGGGGAAATATGGGCTAGAAGGGAAGAAACTGGGCATTTAACCAAAAAAAAAGGCATCGGAGATTAGAGCCATCACCGGTAGATACGCGGGTTATTCTCCCGCTACAGGGACCTCTCTGCTTTCCCACATCCTTCGAATCAATAGTTCGCTTTCAGTAGGATGATACGACGCACTGTCAGTACGTACGTCGCCATGATCATCGACTTGTTGTCCGTATGTATTCCCATCAGTATGTACGGACGTCCTGGAGGGAGGGTTTTCCAGATGTAATCGCTCGACGCCTTGTTCAACCTCTCCAACATGGACGATGCCATCTTGCCCTTGAAACCGGACTTGACTTTGCTTCATGGAATGGGTCTTGCTTAAAAATTGGCTTCCAACACCGGCTTCTTCCATTGCAGTCGCAGATAGCATGTCCTCTCGAGATTGAGGGCGAGACGGATCATGGCCGTTGACCAGGTCACGGGCGGAGTTAACTCTTGTCAATTTTCCACCGGCACTGGAACCTGGAATCTGCCTTAATCGTTTAAAACTGTCGACAACCGGGTTTTTGAAGCGATGGACGACAGAATATTCCGTTGTGAACCTATCGTATATCTTTCGAGAGCGCTTGATTTCGCCGTCGGTCGATACTCCGGTAGATCCAGTCGCTCCTATCATGAATCGACGACCATCGGGCCCATAGCCACCGGTACCCGGGCGGCTCTGAGCGCCTGCCACGTAATTGGAATCGATCGTAGAAGTCGCAGGTATCCCAGGAATGAATGTATCGGGAGGGGAATTGGACATCGTGGCTGTTCTTTGAAGCCAAAGCTTTTGCTGGGTACGAGAATGCGGCTCGATGGGTCCATTGTTGGAGGGCTTGGGAGACTTCGATCGTTTGAGAGCAGTTGATTCGGGAGAAGGTGGTGATTGGGGATGATAATGTGGAAGGAAAGATGAAGGAGTGGAAGGGCCGGAGCTGAAACGCGGGTCGGTCCGAGGGCCAGTACTGTTGATCAAGAAACGCGATACACCTCCCTCCGCAGACGAGGACGCAGCATGGGGGTTATTCATCGCCATCGATGATAGAGTAGATGGAGCGGGGGAGTGGCTCACAGCGTTAAGGCTGGAAGCCAAATTCGCAAAGGAAGAGGAACGAGGGCTTCGGTCAGAGGGCAAGGGGGTGGCTGTGGCGGATACGGAAGATATTGCGGGGGGAACTTTCGAAGAATGGGGGTGGTGTAAGATGCGTGATGCGATAAGGTGTTGGTCTGAGGCGCGTGTTTGATCCGACGGTACCTCAGAAACGGCATCCTTGTCACGGGCGTGACCTTTTTGTAATTGCTCCTCTTGACGTGGGACATTCTTGTCGTTAATATCCGTATTGTGACTCTCCTGGACAAGGGGAGACTTCGCGCAGGAGACAGAGGCGGTGAGGCTATTCTGTCCATTCATTTTTCCTGATACAATGGAGTTACGCCTTGTGCTGGAAGCTGAAATGGAGCTGTGGTCCTCCCATTCGTCCTCGCCGTCTGAGTCCACGAGCGTGAATCCAACCGTTTTCTTCTCAGAAGTCTCGGCCTTTTCGGTTTGATTCACCACATGAGTCTTCTTGACGAGTATCCCAGATCCATTCCGCCTCAGCGCAGGAGTCGACAAATTTTTTCTCACTGTGGTGTTAGGAGACGCGGCCGTAAGCGGTATTGTCGACTGATTCCACCGAACGTGGTTCTGGTTTGTTCGCGGACTGGTTGATGGTGAGACGGGGGCGGACTTTTTGCGTTGATGACGAAAGTGGGTCGGGGGAGCGGCCACCCCATCAACAGGCAAATTATGCACAAGGGCCAATCTGTGCAGTTTATTTAAGTTCTTATGCGACTGCGTCCGTCCATGCACGCGATGGGTACCGACGACGTACGGACGGTGTGATTTATGGACCGTTGACTTGTGGGGCTGGGGTTGATGGGCTGCAGTGGTGGACGAAGAATGACGGGGCATCGCGGAGTGGTCCGGTGGCGCCTGCGGTGAGGAGACCGAGCGCTTAACCGGCGAAACAGAATGGCTCGATGGCATGGCGACGGTTCTTGATGCAGTTGGTTAGGCGAGCGGTTCGTTCAACGAGACTGATCCTGCATCTGCGGAAAATCCCCACGCAGGGAAAATTGTGAATGAAACGGCGTCGGGCAGGGGGGTCGACCGAGAGCGAGGACGGTGCTGGGAAGGTGATAGAGGCTTCCAAGGGAGTCGATATCTCGGGCTAAGCGCGTTGAGACGTAATTGGGCAAGGCTGTGTTCGACGAAACGGGATGGACAATTGGCCAGCGAACAGGCGAATGAGGTCACAGTCGGGTACCAAAATGACGAGAGCACTGCATCAGCAAGAGGAAGCCAATCTGCAAGCATTGAATAACCCCAAAAAAGGACGAATGATATCGGCTCCAGATAAAATACCGGAAGACCTTTCAGCTGGTGGGAAAGGAGGAGCAGCAAGCCGGCGATGATGAGAACAAAGCGACTGCTCGCCGTCCTTTGTCGTCGCTGCATCGGCCGCTGGGGGGGCAAAAGCCCCAAAAGCGGTGAGTGATTGCACGTGATATTTAGTTGAAAGGTTAGCTAAATAGTTAACTAACTACGGAGTACGGAGTGCAGCGGACCGCCCAGCCTGGACTGCAGGCGAAAAGGAATCATGTTTCAGAGCGCACTGTTGCAAGCCTCAACAAAGATGAATCTCGCCATGTTGCTGGCTGTTAGAGGGGCCTTTTCAACTAGTTACAGAGCAAAGGCACCTTGATCACTGCAGCCATGTCTAACTTATTGAGGATAGCCGGTCACAACCCCAACTTCTCACAGCGAAAAGGACTACCGTAGTAAGAAGATGCCCTCAAATACTCCATATTGGTTCATAGAACATAAGTACATGCATACATAATGTATGTATCTGACATGACCTTCCCAGTTATATGCTTAGACAAACCAAAAGAAATCAATAGTGTCGTCATTAACAGGCTAAAAAAGTGTATCAACCTACCAAAGTTCCCGAAGACATTCAGTAGCCCACAATCATTCTATCTTGCTGCTTGGAGAACCCAAGATCACAGCTCAATTAGACTCTCTTCAACCGGCTTGGGCTGTGGCTGTAGTGGCAACTGATACGGCGATTGTGGCGTTGGGAGGGAGGTATCTTCTGATATTTGAGTGCCGTTTATGGGGCGAGCAGGGTACGCATTCTGTGTGGCCGAAGTCGTCTGCTGCCAATGGTACGATGGTTGGTGGTACTGGTCCGTATATTGCACTGGTGGGCTGGTCGTATCGAAAGTAGGCTCATACGGCCCACCTTTCTGGGATCCTTGGAACGCATATGACGGCGTCGACTGCATTGCAGGTGGAGGCGAAGCCAAGGGTTCCGCTACAGTTCTAGACGGAGGGTGTTGCTGGCCTGAAGAAGCCGCCGCTGCAATGGGTTGCGAGTATTGAGAGTTCTGGAATGTAACGGGCGACTGGGGGTATTGCCCCCCCGCGAACGGTGGTTGCTGGCCGGTGGGATGGGCAGAGTCCTGCTTCATCTGGCCACCTACAGCTACATGTTGAAGGGGTTGGTTTGAATATGATAGCGAGCGGTTTTGATGGGGGCTTGGGATTTGGGGGCTGGTATCTGTGGGTTGATTCCATGGCTGGCGAGGGGGGTTATACTGTGAAACGGGGCGCGCATACATTCCCGGGGCAGTACCGGCCGCTGCCGACGGGGAGCGTTGCTCATACTGGTCCACCGATGACTGCCTGCTCATAGGGGGGTAAGCATGTGGAAATTGCCGATCAGGACCGGACCCAAGGTAGAAACTTTCCGCGCCTCCTTGATTATCTGAAATGTGTGAGGACATGGTTGGGTACAAATTCGTCGATGACTGGGCTGGCTGTAGAGAATCGTACGCTCCCAAGGTTTGCTGTGCATAGGTGTTCGAAAGTCGCTCTTCTAGCATTCGATCATAATACCGAACAACGGTCGACAGCTTAGCATGTAAATCTAGAAGAGTATCTTCTCATTGTCAGTGTTGACATTATTGCTCTCAACATAGAAAGGACCTACCGTATTTGCTCATCGTTTCGCCGTATGTCCGGGCTAGCTTGGGCCTCAGAGCGCCTATACTTTCATACAATTCCTGAATCTGGGGCTCCCTTAATATCGTTCCCGGTGGCTGATGCTGGAGTCGGTCTACTAGAGTCGCCAGCAGATTGATTTTCTCCGCCTCAGTTGCAGTTAACTCGTAGTCCTTTTTAGGGAGAACAGTGGCGGATGTGCCCGGCCCGGGGGTCTCTAGAGATGTCGAGTTCTTTAATGCAGCAGTGTGCTTCCTCTTTTGTTCTTCCATATCCTTAAGAGAAGCTTCAATAGCCGCCTTTAGATCTGAATCTTCCTCTTCTTCGTTGACATTTTCATTCGTTTTAGAAGGAGTAGCGCGAGGAGTCGGCTTCGACTGCGGGACATATCCGCTCGACGATTTACCCTTTGCATCTTCAAGGCTCAGTTGAAGAGCGCGTTTGAGATCTTCATCGAAATCTGCTTTAGCACGACCCCCTCGAGGCTCCATTCGAGCACTTGTCTTCGGCGACTTGAAGCCGGGTCGGTTCGATACACCCGGAGGGTTAAACGACTTGGACGTCAGCTTCGCGTAACAGCCGTCATCCACTCGCACCGGCTGTATAATCCCCAGGTGCGGTAGGGGCAAGGTTTTGCTGGAACACTGAGCGTCGAAGACATTGCCACAATTACGGCAGTGATGTTTGCGATTGGTAAAGGTAAAGGGTGTTCGACATCGCATGCATACGTCGGAATCGATCCATTCAGGAGGCTGTTCGTTTTCAAAGGCCGTTAGCATCCGCCTAAACAGGCAAACGGACCAGTATGGCTTTGTGGACTTACTGCGCTGCTGTCAAGCATGCTGCTGGCCAGCTCTGTCTTGGGTGGAAACTGAAAACCATCCCATTGCAATTTCCGATATGTCTCTCCCACATACGCCAGTTCACTGCGCGACTCAGTTGCAAGTGCCCAACTTTGAATCAAGTCCAGTATCTTCGTCTTTACGCTGTCGTTGAGGGCGTTGGGACCTTCGGTTTTCAGCAGCGAAACTAGGTTGTCCATAAATTCTCTGGACGATATCTCGAGAAGGAAATGTCGGCCACCGTTTTTTACGCACGTATCTGTCAACTGGAGCGCGAATATCAGCAGTAGTCATAGATGGTAGCGGAGTCATGGGGAATTTGCCTTCAAGGTTGCCAGCTGAACGTTCGGGTTCTTGTTCTCTAGTCTCCTTTTCAACACCTTCATGGCTTCCTTCGGTTGTACGGTCTTTGATCGGATCAAGTCTGTGATTTCCAGGTTCAACGCGATGTCTTCTCTGCAAGGGATGTTAGCCCAAGGCGAGTCGCAACCGGAGGTTCTGATACTAACAGGGATGAAGCCGTTGCCTTCTCGACCTGCTCCTCGAACGGAGAAACTGAAGAAAACCAGCCTGCCATGGTGACAGTATTCGCTGATGGGACCTCCTTGCCGAGATCTGAACAAGCTCTTGGTGGAAATTCTGAAGGCAGGAAGGGGGCTGGCTATGTTCTCAGGCTCGGGTTGATGGTGTTGTCTTTGGATCCTTCAGAGAGGATGACGACACTGGGTTAGAGTGATGTAAATTGACCACAACAAATTACTCCGCAGTCAAGGCGCGCAAAACGGTATACGACAAGGCGCGGGCAAAAACTAGTGGGGACGTGTTATGTACGCAGACAAGGCAGAAGCATTCAGATACCTTTACTTCGGAATTAATAACGGCGGAATATTGATACTACGCTGTAGGACGTGCGCGTGCAGCCAAAAGCAGCCTGTGATGGCGCATGGATGGCGCTGTGTTCCAGACACCGCGGGAAATATCACATGACCAAGCTGGCGGGAAATGGCTTATGTAACTAAAGAAGTGGCAGCCTCTGCGGTCTTATTGGGTGGCTAGGCGCCGTGGTTAACTAATCAGCCGAAGATCGCTGCCTCCCGCGCGGCTAAGTCGGTCAACTGGGACTGGGCGGTTTTTAAGGGCCGCATCAGCACCAGCATCAGCAGGTCTGACGATGTCGATATCTTACTCCCTGGACCTTTAACTGCAAGGTTTCTCGCCGCCTATGCGGTCCTCCCACATCCCAACCTGACTATATTTGGTTTGATTGCTACCGTCGCTACGGAGGACTGCAAAACGTACCCACTTCTATCTCTTTGTTTGCTGTTAACCAAGCCGGGTCCAACACCACGCTTTACTAGTAACCCCATCAACCTATCTATCCATCGACCTGTTTGCAAAATGTTTTCCTTGCTCACTGCTTGAATCGAGTGTTTCGTGGTGGAAATCTCGGGAAATCAGCACCAAACCAAACGTACCAAGCCCCTCCCCGACGGACGCTTTCTGAGACGCTATGCGGGGAGCAGTGGCGGATAACAATGTCGCTGGTCCGCATTTTGGTGATCAAGCTGGCATCGGCCCGGACGCGACGCATAGGCAATATTTGGATATGAAATCATTGCAGGATATGGCCGCGTCATTAAATCTAAACGGAGATGTTCCAGTAGGCAACCTCATATCAGCACGGGGAGATTTGACCCTCACCTTGACTCCAACTAACGGTTATTGTTACGATAGCTGAATGAACTAGTTCGAATTTCCGAGGATGCGATCCAGAAATCGAAGATATTAGCACAACAAGGGCAGCTAGATCTTGCGCTTGTGCAATATCTTCGGGCATCGGACGTCGTCATTAATGTAATTCCAAACCACCCGGACTTCAATTACATGAACCGTCACCACCCACGGTGGGCAGGTCAGTTCTCGGGGCTTATGATGGTGAGCAATCCCGTTGAGATTCTTTTCTACCTTTGATTCTACCCTTGCACGTTGCTAACCTGGGCCAAGGCTGTCAATTCCCAACACGCTACCATGGAGAATATCAAGCGGAAGCTTAGTTCGCAGCATAATCCGAGCTACGGTCATGAGTCCAGCCAGTCACGGCCAAATTCGGGGGGTTATAATGCTTCGCCAATCCTGCCTTCGGAATCCTCTCGTTACGAAGCAGCGCAAGATCCCCCCGATATCCCCATTCGCATGCCAAGTCCCTCAAGCTTCCAACGCTCGCCGACCATACCAGCAATACTGCAAACACCAGGGTCCCCGTCGAGGAAAATCAAACCCGAAGTGAAACCCAAACCGGAAAATCTAATGGGGAAGCCTACAGAGGAGAAAACAACGATGCAGGATCCTCTCACGCAGCGATTTGCCGAGTTAAGGAATTCGCACATAAAGAGGACTCCAATCGACAATAGTGGTACAACTCTAAATAATGGCACCTGGGCTCCTCCGTCCGCAGACTCTCATACATCCCAACCTCTCTCGCATTCGCGTCCTCGCTCAGTTTTGGATCCACCACCTCCTCGCCCACTGGGGCCCAGGGAGATGAATTCTTATCGTACTGACCCCCCAGCTCCACCCCCGAAAGTGCCCATTTCATCGGTTGAACCATCCCTTCCAAGAGTTCCTAGCCCCGCATATAGTCCGGTGACTACCGTCCCATCCCAACCGCCTCCGAATCCTCCCAGGACTTCCGTTGATAGCATTCGCCCTGTATCCTGCCGACAATCCTCTTCCTGGATGGGTGTATCGAACGAGACTCTTGCCGTCGTTGATGATAACCCATATCGATCCCGTACCCCGAACGGTATGAATGCAGAAGGAGAGCTAAGGAATAATACAGCAGATATGACTGTCGGTGAATCAATTTCCGCTGAAGATTTACTGCAATTTTTGCGAAAATACGACATTCTGCTTATCGATGTCCGTCCGCGAGATCAGTATGACAGTGGCCATATATATTCAAAGTCTATCATATGTATCGAGCCGGTCATCCTCAAGGAAAACATGTCCGCGGAAGAGCTCGAGGATCGTTTAGTAATATCACCAGAAGCTGAACAATCACTATTTTCCAAGCGGAACGAATTTGATCTCATTGTGTATTACGATCAAAATACAAGTGATCCGTCATACCTCTCTGGTTCTCCAGCGTCGAGCGCTGTGCCTCATCTTAGAGCTCTTTATGACACACTATACGAATTTAATATGTATAAGCCGCTCAAATATGGCCGACAGCCAGCTTTTCTTGTCGGAGGACTGGATGCTTGGGTGGACCTTGTCGGTCAGCAGTCACTATCAACCACGCACACCGCAGCTATTATGCACTCTGTACGGGCACGCAAACCCGTTCCGGGAAAGTACCAGCCATTGAGGAGGATGCCAACCGCCAGTGCCAATTCAAGCTGGGAGGTGAAGAAAAGGAGATTACGTGAATTCAAACCTTTGAACCCAGAGGAAGAACGGGCGTGGCTGGAGAAGGCAAAGACTGAAGAGATCGATCCATCCAGCTATGGTGCAGGTGATGGCGTTATTACTGAGGAACCCCAAGAACTCGAATCGGCTGAAGCCGAACTGAGCTCTTCTTTTGTTCATTCGTATGAAGACTTCCTTCGACGGTTTCCTGAACCCGGAGACATTCGACAGTCTATGGCCGGTCTTCCCATGACCGACCATCAATCCACTCAATTCCATGAGCCACTAATCGCACATCCTTCTCGGCCGCCACCAGCGGTGCCCCGTCCATCTTATAGCGGTGTTACTGATGGCCGACATATCCAACCCTCTTTTGCACGTCAAGCCTCTGCCACGAAGCATGCATTGTATAAAGCCAGTTCTCCACTTGATCGTATTAAACTTCCTCGAACCGGCCTCGTTAACTTTGGATCAACGTGCTATATGAATTCGATCATTCAGAGTTTAAGCGCAACAACAGAGCTGACCAAGTTCTTCTTCAATAATCATTTCCATACCGTCGTTCAAAAGAATTGGAAGGGCTCACAAGGTGTTCTACCGGGACTTTATGCCAACCTAGTACGGTCGTTGTGGAAGAATGATGTTGAAGTCATTCGGCCCACCTCTTTCCGAAAATTTATTGGACGCTTGAATTCCGAGTGGGCGGGTAGCCAGCAGCAAGATGCCAAGGAGTTTTTCGATGTACTTGTCGACTGCCTGCACGAAGATCTTAATGTAAACTGGCAAAGAACTCCCCTGCGTCCACTGACAACAGAACAAGAAATGCGCCGTGAGCGAATGCCAATACATCAAGTCTCGGGAATCGAATGGAACCGATATTGCCACCGTGAATTCTCTTATATATCTAGTCTTTTCGCCGGGCAACATGCAAGTCGCTTACGTTGTACGACGTGTCGGCGTACCTCTACGACCTACGAGGCTTTTTATAGCATCAGCGTAGAGATCCCACCATCCGGGAAGGGCGACATTTACCAATGTCTCCGCAGTTATTGTCAAGAGGAGATGCTTAGCGGGGATGAAGTTTGGAAATGCCCTCATTGTCGCACTGAGAGAGAGGCCACGAAGCAAATCATCCTGACTCGTGCGCCCCAGTTTCTTGTCCTCCATTTTAAGCGATTTTCCGCATCTCACCGCCAACAAGCTCGCAAGATACATACACCGGTGTATTTCCCACTCTCAGGCTTAGACATGACTCCTTTTATGATTCAGCCCCCATCCACTCCGCCTTCTCAGCCTCAACCCAATGGGAATCCCGCCCAGACGTCTGCAGTGTCACAATCTCAGACCGAACTTTCGCCGAATGACCTGGCAACGTCTTCTCCGTTTATTTACAATGCCTATGCCGTTGTGCGACACTTGGGATCGACAATCCATGAAGGCCACTACATTTCTCTGGTTCGGGACGCTAATCGCGACTGTTGGCGCAAGTTTGACGACCATCGTGTCACAGATTTTCAACCTGGCAACCCAGGATCGTCTGATTGCCTTCAGAGCGAACAGGCGTATCTGGTGTTTTACGAACGCGCCCCCAGAAATTAAGCTCTTCTTGACGCCCTTCTGCCCTGCAGTATGACCATGAATGATGAACGTACGATGGCAGGTTGTTACTTTTCTCTGGTTTATGAAGCATAAATGCTATGTGACATGATTTGGATCTGTGATTAAATTACGTTTCTTTTTTTCCTTTTTTTTTTTTTTTTTTTTTTTTTTTTGGGCGTCTTCTTTTTCTCTACTCTGTAAAGGCCAGTTTTCTACTGTCCCACGATCACTGCAAAGCCTATAGCGGATTATTGATCTAGACAGTATGAAGATATTTCAATTTTCTGGCTTGCAGTTATTTTTTGACCCCGCTACACGCAAATTATGTCATTGCAAGATTATACCCAGCATACATAGCGCCCTTTTATTTTATTTTATTTTTTTTTAATTCTGATTTATTTATTTTTGGGCTTGTGAGACTGTGACTCGAAGAGGCCAGCACAGAGCCTCCCATCCTTCAGTGTTCCCTTCAATTGGGCCACTTGGCATCTCGCGGTTACTCGACCTCACTCTTTATCCACAATTTTGAAATCCAGGCGGCGTTGGCCCTGAGGTTGGGGGTTTCTCACCAGAACTCAACAACACCACTTTCCGGAGCATTGATCCACTGGTGAATAGTTGACGAGTTGGATAGCTAGCGCAAGACTCCAAAAGCACATGCAAGGCAAATAGCGACATCACATTTTTTTCCCTCTTGGAATACTAGGTTTCGAGTAAAGACTTGAGCCTAACAGGCGGGATCCCGAAGTTACACTTGTCTGTCGTATCTCCCAGTGTCAAGCCTAACCGTCTCGACTTCATATCAGCGTTTTGGAAAGTCAGATAGTTCATCAAGCATTTTGACTCCGCATCTCTTCAGAACCAAACCTAGCATTCACAGGAGCGCCATTTTAAGGGGAATATTTCATTTTGTTGAAGGATCTGTACCACATGTGATTGTATTTTGCGGCGAGACGCTTCTAGTCGAATGGGTAAAGCATCGGTTTTAAGCTTCAGTCTAAGCTTACGAATTTTGGAAAAAGGTCTTCATAGCGTTCCCGTCTGTCTGGATAGAGCGGGCGATTGTCGCGGGTGCCAGATCTCGGCTCTTGAGCGCTCGATTGTTCCAATTCGTTATCCGCCTGAGATTCTTAGTTTGATCCCAAGAGCCGCGGTGACATTCATTTGAACTTAGAGGAACACCCAATTGAAACCCTCCCAGCAAGACTCCAGGAGGATTGTGGAGAAAAGGACGACCCCATACTTCGGCGGTCGACGGAATCTCTGGTTGGGCAAACTGCGTGTCTGCAGCTCAAGGTTGGCTCGCCAAGGTCCAGGGACCTTTCTCGCCAAACAAAATTTGATCCTTCATGCGACAACTGCAACAGTTACCGAAATTTAATCATCACTGGATGCGAGACTGTTGGTCCGTTCGCGGGCTCGCCGTCATTTGACCTGACCCGTGTTGAAAAGCCGACGATGGGTTCCTCCTTGACTCGTCGCACTAGATAACTCTTCCTGTGGAGTTGCCGGGGAATCCCAGTTCCGTCTTGACGATGCCCCTTGCGCACGACAACGACAACTATCCTTTGTGTCACTCGTGTAGCTCACGGCCAAAGTTGCCCATGACAAAAAGCGGGACGAAGCCCTGGGGGATGTAACTACTCCGTATAAATGGGTGCAATGAAGAAAGTTGTCCGCGCTGTTCGACCCTTGGAGACATATTCCCTGCCCACCAGCCTCCCCACATTTTCGGGGTCGTACGAATGGGCTGAAAGCTTACCGAGCAACCTCTGATTCTCCTTTTCCGTCAAAAAATCCTTGTGCCTCCCTCAGTCCTCGGGGCTCCGCACAGCCTCTCCCCATAATAATAATAATAATATAATAAAGGCTTAAATTTAAATGGCCAAGCCCAGTCATGGTTGCAAGCCCTGTTCCAATAAGAGAAATGTCACAGTGGCCATTACCCAGGCTTGGTGTCCAGTCATTTCTTTCAGCTTATACCGAGTATTTCAGCTTCAGGTCTCTCCACCAGGGGATTCTTTTTGACCGAACCCGCTTTAGCAGCCTCATGTTGCTCTAAAGCACCTTTCAAAATCCAACACATATACATACCCTCATAAGCTATGAGCCAGGCCTGTCCTGGGAACAGGCCTTTTTTATCCGTTCGGGTGCTTTGACATGACGTTGACCCTGCATTCTAGATTCTGGATTCTAGGTCTCTCTATTCTCTACCGGACGGTCAGGGTTTACTTATGAAGAACGTCTAGCACAACTCTACATACCGTTCCTGAATTCACAAGCCCGCTGCGGACTAGATCAGGGTATGAAGAGGTGATTTCAATGATCATCCTCATACCGCTTTTGCAATGGTAAATATCGGGCTGTCTACGCCTGACCATCCAAACCGAGGATTGCAGCTATGGCTCGTCGGGGTCGTGATGGTCTTGGTGGCCGCGATTTTCGTGATCGTGCGCCTGGCCGCGAGATATGTTCGAAGCGGAATCCAGATGGATGATTGGACCATTTTCGCTTCATTGGTAATGATCTCGAATTGCATCTTTTATATCGCACTCCCGATCCTTAACTGACTCTTTTGGTAGACTATTTCAGCGATGTTTACCCTTTCTCACAATATAGGTTCGTTATTCACGCTCTGCGGTTATAACTCTATTCCCGTGTCTCTGAGCTGACCGATATAAACCACGCACGCAGCCATACATTATGGATATGGGCAACATTCTATGGACCTCGAACGCGATCGAAGGATCTCCGCACTCAAAGTTGGACTTCCCCCTAAGCAGACCCTAGCACCCTATTGGGTCGCTACGACCTCCGAACTAACTGTTCTCGTTGCATAGGCTTTATTCGTCTGCCAGGTGCTTTACAAAGTGGTCATTTGCCTGACCAAGGTGTCGATATTGTTGCTCTACGTGCGAGTCTTCTCGATAGCCAAGAACTTCACACGATGCTGTATTGCAATGATTGTATTCACAATCATATCGGGGATAGCTTTTCTCGGCCCAACGATCTGGCAGTGCAGACCAATTGCCTCCTACTGGGACCGTTCCATAAAGCACGTTTGTATAAGTAACCATGCCACTTGGTTATCATACGCCTTGATCAACATAATTACCGACTTCATGATACTATTGCTTCCGGTGCAGCAGGTGCTCCGCCTTCAGCTGAAGCTCCGAGATAAGATTTCTATTATTATGATTTTTATGCTTGGTGGATTGTCCGTGAACACATGTCCCGCAACCATTGGAACTACTTAATCGGACTAACCATAAATCTAGTGTCTGCATAACTAGCATCATCCGAACTACCAGCCTTGCTGCATCATCGAACCTACAGGATGTCACCTGTAAGCCCCATCTCCCCAACCCCTTGGTCCTCAAAACGCTAGCTGGACATAATTTTGCTCAAAAAGAAATCTCCAGGGCATACCATCGGCGTTTCGGTCTGGAGCACAATCGAACTCAACACAGGCATCATTTGTGCCTGTCTCCCCATGATCCGCCAACCGCTCTCGTTTATTTTCCCCAACCTCTTCTCCGCCTCGGATCGAAGCAATTCCCACCCATACGAGCATTCATATATGACTGCCTCGCGGCACAAATCCCGCTGTGATCGCTCTGTGCCGACGGCAAATCGGAACTTAACCTGGACCCGAGACCATGCCGACCACGTATTCATTGCGTCTGTGAAACCGGGTGCGCGGGACGGATACATGCATCGAACAGAAAGCGAAGAGAACATGATAGACCTCGAACGTATGGATGCCAACGGGAATGGGATCATAAAGACCACAGACGTGTCTATCTCAGCGTTCACGAGGTCTGACTATGGTTCCTCGCCGTCACATCGCACGAAGTAAAATTTCTTATAACCTGTTCTTTCTCCAGTTTTCCATTTTCAATTTTTTTTTTTTTTTTTTTTTTTTTTTTTTTTTTTAAAAAAAACTCCTTTTTTACGGAGTAACTGCCAGTGTGATGATAATGTGGAATTATGGTTGGGCGGCCTTTTTTATTTCCGAAAATAGCATTGTTTCCTCAGCCTCTGTATCGGTATCTCTCTTGGGCTGCATATATGCATAGATACAAAGCTCACTGGATGAAATCTCCAACACAACATCTTCCCAACCAGCCCAGCTGGAAGAGGCCGAACAGGGTAGCACACACAAACACATAGCGAGTCTTCCTATCGGTGTTTTGGGTAAGGTCATGCAGAGCCAGGCCGGATCCAATCAACCACCAGGCTTGCGAAGATCCCATCCCAAGAAAAATAATTTCGTCAAACGATGGAGTATACAGAGTAACTGCACTATAAATAGCAATTCTCGATGCCTTTAGCATATTAGTGGGGATTATCCTCCGATGTCCAGAGCTTTGCTCAAAACCAGTTACACAAAAGAGAGAGCAAGATCCGACTTTAACGACTCCATACAAGGTTGGTCAGCATGGTGCAGGAAAAAAAAAAAAATAAAGTTAACTAATCATTCAATCTGTCATACAAAAATGCAAAAATAAAACTCCTTTATGCCTATTCTTTCAAACTTCCAGAACTTAGGAATACGTAAAGCTATACCGAAGCACCAAGATGCTTCTTTAAGTCTCAATTGCTTTATAACATTACAAGTAGACTCTAGGTCTTAAGCCGGAATATTTTTTTCCTCTTTTTTTTTGGTTTCTCTTTTGATATTTTTACAATTCGTCATGGCCAGATGGCTCGTCCGCTTCTCCGCTAGGGGCTTCACCAGCACCGTACAACTTGCTAGTGATGGGATAAGCCACATTGGAGAGCTTCTCTTTCTGCTCTTCGAAATCTTCGGTTGTCGCAGTAGCGGCATGTTCTTCAAGCCAGTCGGTGGCTTCCTTAACAGCCTCAAGGATCTGCAATAGCTGTTAGTTAAGTGGCTAAACAGTGAATACAAATGCAAGAGTGTCATACAGTTTCCTTGTCGTCATCCTCAATCTTACCACCCAAGCCCTCCTTGTCGTTGACTTGGTTCTTAAGGCTAAAAGCATAGTTCTCAAGGCTGTTACGGGCCTCGATCTTAGCCTTCATAGCCTTGTCCTCATCGGCGAACTTGGCGGCTTCCTCAACCATACGGTCAATCTCTTCTTGAGACAATCGGCCCTTATCGTTGGTGATCGTGATAGATTCAGCTTTGCCGGTTCCCTTGTCTCCAGCAGTAACCTTCAAAATACCATTGGCATCAAGTTCAAAAGATACCTCGATTTGCGGGACACCACGTGGGGCTGGTGGAATTCCTGTGAGTTCGAATTTGCCCAACAGATTGTTATCCTTGGTCATAGATCGCTCTCCTTCATCTGCAAGGCATTAGCAACGCGCGTCAACTGAAAAGGATTGTGGAAGCAGGAACTTACAAACTTGGATAAGGACAACTGGTTGGTTATCAGCGGCGGTAGAGAAGATCTGGGACTTGCGAGTAGGTATGACAGTGTTGCGAGGAATCAACTTGGTCATGACACCACCAGTGGTCTCAATACCAAGAGTCAAGGGGTTGACATCCATGAGAACGACTTCCTTGGCACCCTCATCGCCAGAAAGAACACCACCTTGAACAGCGGCACCGAATGCGACAGCTTCGTCAGGGTTGATACCCTTGCTTGCCTTCTTTCCACCAAAGAACTCCTCGAGGAGTTGTTGAACCTTGGGGATGCGAGTAGATCCACCGACAAGGACAATGTCGTGGATTTCAGATTTCTTGACCTTGGCGTCCTTGAGCACCTGCTCGACGGTACGAAGGGTCTTCTTGAAGAGATCCATGTTGAGCTCCTCAAACTTGGCTCTGGTGAGAGTTTCCGAGAAGTCGTTTCCTTCATGGAAAGCTTCGATTTCAATGCGAGTAGACATCTGAGATGAAAGAGCTCTCTTGGCCTTCTCGACTTCGCGCTTCAGTTTACCCATGCTCTTAAGATCCTTTGTAATGTCGACATTGTTCTTCTTGTTGTATTGCTTGGCAAGATAGGTGATGACTCGCTGGTCAAAGTCCTCACCACCGAGATGAGTGTCACCAGCGGTAGCCAAGACTTCGAAGGCGCCGTTATCAATAGAGAGCACAGAAACATCGAAGGTACCACCACCAAGATCGTACACGATGATCTGGCGCTCGTCACCGGTCTTGTCGAGACCATAAGCGATAGCGGCAGCGGTAGGCTCGTTGACGACACGGAGGACGTTCAATCCGGCAATGGTACCAGCATCCTTGGTGGCCTGTCTCTGGTTATCATTGAAGTAGGCTGGGACAGTAACAACGGCGTTGGTGACTGGCTTGCCGAGGTATCCCTCAGCGATCTCCTTCATCTTGCCTAATACCATGGCGGAAACCTCCTCGGGAGTGAAGTTCTTTGGCTTTCCGTTGACATCAACGCGAACCTGTGGCTTGCCATCCTTGTTGACAACCTTGAATGGGAAATGCTTGATGTCATTCTGAGCGTCCTTATCTTCAAATTTGCGGCCAATGAGACGCCTGTAACACCGCAGTCAGTACAGGTACCTTGCACACGGGAGCCATAGAGCTCGGAACAACATACTTGATGTCAAAGATTGTTCGTTTAGGGTTAGAAGCATATTGATTCTTTGCGGCATCACCGACCAGACGCTCCTCGTCCGTGAAGGCCACGTATGAAGGAGTGATTCGGTTACCCTGGTCGTTTACCAAGATTTCAACTTTTCCATTTTGCATCACACCAACACAGCTAGACATGGTCAGTTAGCGCTGCGGGTCAAGGCTGAATTAGGGACTGATGGGGTGTGCATACGAGTATGTGGTTCCCAAGTCGATACCGATGACTGTTCGATTGCGGAGGTTAGCAGAGAGTCGACGAGGATCTGAAACACGCCTTCATACTCCTCTCTGAGACATACCTGTTCCATAGTTTTCTTGAAGGGGAGCCTGCTCTTCCGCGGCGTGTGCTGTGCCCAACAGGGCCAAGGGAGCGATGAAGACAAAGAGAAGGTAGAAGATCGTGGTCCACGCGAATGGCGAGGAAGCCACGTCCCGCCTCGATTGACGAGACATCTGGAAGTGGGTAATTAAGTGTGGGAGAGAAGCAATGCGGTGATCTCTTCGCTGGTCCGGGCTCGCGGCTCTCTCTCTCTCTTTGCGCTTCCTGGTATGACAAGGTGTAGCTTCAGGCGCTGGCTGCTTTTTCACCAGGAATGAACGGGGAAGCAAGAAAGAAGGGGAGGGTATAATATGAAAGAAAAGAACAACAATGAAAAAAAAAGAAAAGGCAAAGGAAAAGGAATTAAGGTGAACAGAAGAAGGACAGCTCCAAACCTGAAGAGGGACGGGGGAAGTGAAGGGAGAACAGCATCCGGACGGAGAGCTTTATCTGCGCGTGCTGCTGTGAAGGAATAGTTGGCCTTTTCGATCGTCGGGGAGCCGCTAGTCCCGTCGCGGCCTAGCGCCGTAGTGGCAAGCTTCCGTGGGGCTTTCTCGGCCCATTTAGGGTTTACTCTACGCCTGCTGATTGGCCATATTTGCTGACTCAGCGTGTCTGGAGATTTCTACAAACCGCCAGCATGCGCCACTGTGATTGGCTCGCTGATGCTGTCTATCTGGCCACTCCAGCGTGCTATTGCCACTGCCACCCGCCTCCGCCCAGACAGCATGTTGCGGCATCTTCCAGAAGCGAGTGGAAGGCCTGGTGATGATAGGTACAGTACTATCTCCTGAAATGTCCTACTGTAGCTACGTTGGCGTGAAAGAGCTCTGGCTTTTGTCGTTCTCAAACAAGCTTCCTTGATGTCATTTTTGGGGGGCTTCCGCCTCAGCAGAAATCTTACTCATAACACCGTTTGTAGTAATAAAAAAGATATGCATTCTATATGTGTCCTGCATAAAGAAAACTCCTAGAAAACCTTACACAGTTCACCCGCCTTTTCAATGCCTTACTCGTGCCTGATAGATTGTGCCCGCATGCTCGACTCCCATCCGAGGATTTCTAGACGTACCTTGGGACCTAGCAGGCGCCATGGCTTCCAAGCCCTGATTCAACTACTCCGTGCCTGTAAAGCTAAAAAGTGGTCATCACAGGCTTCCCGCCTCATCTTGGCGAGTTTCTGAGAAAAATCGCAGTCGGATCGAATCTTCACGTATAACTATGCTCCATCTGGAGTGTGTACGCCCAGCTCGGAGTCATCATGAATTTTCTGCGGACCACCATAAGGAAGAACAAATGCAAACATCGTCACCCACACTTAATACTTTGCGTAGCTATGCAAAAAGAAACTGCGAGAACGCTGTGGCTCTATCAACAGGAAATGCAAGCTCCATTCGATGCAACATTGTCACGTGGCCATAAACATGTAATCATTGGAAATATCGAGGTGCTGAAATTTCCCGATCCATCTACCCAGTATGATCCTGTCAAATGCAATCCCAAATTCCATCCCGTCGATCGTGTTCCGTTCATTCCAATAATCCTGCAGCCACAGTCTCCCCGCTTGCCCTCAGCACCACTCGCGCTGGCGCCTCCAAAGGTATCGGTTGGTCGATGTCAACGACGATCCGCGCAACCATGCCCGGCGCCACAATCTTTGGCTTCTTTTTTACCGGCGTCCCCGACGCCTTGTCTAATGTCGCAACGAGGCGTGAGATGCGGCCCGGAACATGCAGACGCCCACGATGAAGCTCAACGTGCATCGGAGTTAGATGGTCAAAGGCTAGCACCTTCGCCGTAAACGAGCTGATATTCTGCACAGGAGAGGACGGGCTGCAGATGACGTCACCGGTCTTGAGATGCATAGGATCGATATCCACGAGGTGGAGCACAACGTTGTTCCCTGCCACTGCCCAATCTTTAGGCTCTTGGTCGATTTCAAGGCTTTTGATCGTCGCCGCCTCTCCGCTCGGCATGCTCAAGACTCGATCTCCAACCTGCAAACTCCCAGCATCAATGCGCCCCGAGATAGAGAGTTGATTCTGCGCTCCTCCCTTGAAGACATCGGCGATTGTCATTCGTAGAGGCTTTTCAATGGCATATGCGTAAGGTTCTGCAGTTTCCAGCTCTTCAATCAGTGTCCTTCCCGAATACCAAGCAGCATTTTTATCTTTCGTCCGCGAAATGATATTCTCTCCGCGAAGGCCGGAGCATGGGACGAAAGATATGTTTTTCGGCTGAAATCCAGCGGTAGTCAAGAATGAAGATATTTGCTGCTCGATTTCATCAAATCGCTCCTTCGACCAGTGCACTGAATCCATCTTGTTCACCGCAACCACCATTTTCTGAACTCCCATGCTTCGAACTAGCAAAGCGTGTTCTTTTGTTTGGCCTTTCAAGCCAGATTCAAAATTCCCCGTGCTCGCATCGATCACAAGAACTGCGAAATCGGCCTGGCTAGCTCCAGCGATCATGTTGGGTACAAAGTCGCGGTGTCCAGGCGCATCCAGTATCGTGAAACTCGTAGAATCGGTTTCAAACCTGTTCGTCGCAATATCGATCGTCACCCCACGGGCACGTTCTTCTGATCCCTGATCGAGAACCCAAGCGAGGTGAAAGGACCCTTTTCCAATTTTATCGGCTTCTCGCTTATATTTATCCACTGTACGCTGGTCAATAGCCTTCAAGTCGTATAACAGCCTTCCCATAAGCGTGCTCTTTCCAGCATCAACATGCCCTACAGTGAGATTAGCCGTTGTCCAGCATCTAGATTGGACCAGTGCCTTACCAATGACAACGAAATTAGCCGCTTTCTTCCTTTTGGTTTTACGATGCTCTTCTAGGACATCTAGCTGTTTGCTCTTGGGTTTAACGGATTCTTGTACCGAAAGTTGTTTAACATTGTCCGCTAGAGCGGATGTCGCCTTAGCCGACGACTGGGCTTTCGCTTGTTTTGCCTTATTTGCTAGGTAGTGTTAGTATTATTATCTAGCTGGGGAGCCAAAAATCCAAACCTTTAGCCGCATTTTGCGCATTGAATACAACGTCATCGGGACTCGGTTCTGCAAAATTAAAACATTCAGTAAAACCCTGCCCGTATAGTTTGAGCATATCAAATCCCCGCCATGAACAATAAGACGATCCTTGGCCGCTTCGGCTTCCAACTATTACTGTCGCGAAGGAAGAAGGCCGAGCAAGAAGATCTTCCGTTAAAGGCACCGAATCCCCTTTAGGGCTCGGGCCGGGAGCCTTCACAGGAAACTTCGGTTTCTGGTCCGATTCCATAGGCTCACGAATTTCCAGCGACGGCTTCTTTTGAGGACCAGGACTAGGGCCTCGAACCGGTTTTCGAAGAGGAAACCTGGAAAGCCGGGATTCCGGGCTAGCCTTGTGTCTGCCATTACTTGCTAACCTATCTAGTAGTGAAATCGAAGTTCTGGGCTGAGTTTTAGGAGACGACAGAGAAGGGGAAGGCTCCGCATCCGTAGTCTCTTTTTCGGCCTTATTCCTTTCGCTTTCCTTCTTCTTTCGCGCAGCAGCAAGCGCGGCGAGCTTCGACATCTTCCCAGAACCTTCCGGTGCTCCGCCTAGTAAGCCAAGTCGAGGATAGAGTGGCTCAACCAATATCTCTGCCTTTCGATGACTGGGAATGTTCAACCACGGAGAATCTTTAAAGAAGTCACGAGCCGAAAACCGGGTCGGGCACTGAGCGCCATAGAATGGAAGCGGGTAAGGCGAAACTATTTTTTGAAAGGCAGCAGTTAGGAACTGTTTAGTTATTCGCTTCGCATCAGCTGCCTACAATACAGTTGACAACAACGACAATAACAACGACAAAGGTAAGCAAGGAACGCACCGTGCTGGAAGATAGACGTAGCCCACGACTAAGAGGATCGAGCTTCCTTTCCGGCAGCCACCAAGACTTAAAACTAAATAGAAACTCACCTTTTCCTTTTGACTTTGCTTGCACCGCTGAGGCCGTGGCACCTGTCGTCTGTTGCTTTGGTGTCTTCTTTGGCGTCTGCGGTCGGTATTTCTCTAGGAACGTCCACCCCGCCTTAGCAAATAACCCGCAACACGGAGAGGAGCAAGAAACTGAAGAAGTCTTACTTCTCAAGTACGCAACCGTTTTATCCACGTCGTAATAATAATGCCATAGCGACTCCCATATTTCTTCTTCCTTGGCCTGAATCGGTGGCAGCTCAGAGAGTAATAGCTGCTGAACCTCCGCAGTTCGGAGCCTCATCTGCTCGCGATCCTCGGGGGACAGTTCTCCATCCTCGCCGTATTCGTCGTCATCGTAATAATCGTCGTCGCCATCGTATGCAATGTTCTTCACACGATTACGAGACATTGCGATCTGGGAGGGATAAGAAGTCGAAATGGAGGGAGAAAGTTGCACAAAGCCTCCCGAGTCCCTGAAGCTTATTGATGTCGAAACTAATCTCGGCGTGGGGCGAAGTGAGTGAGTGCCGCCCGCCAGCCAACGTCATTCCCCCTCACCACTTCACCGAATGCTCAGCTTGACGGGCAGAACCACAGAGAGATATGAAGCAATTTTGCTCACATTCCAATGCCACTTGTAAGTTTTATATTTGATATTGATATGTCACTCTTTAGGCGTTGTGCAGAGTTGACCATTGGCTACATATGTAGGATGACAGTACTCCGTACTCCGTACATGTTATTTATCTGAACAGTGCAGCCCGTCGGGAGGTTGGTTCAATTAGAACCAGGCCTCTTATCCTGCCCAACTTTTCCAATTAGGGACCCAAAAAAAAAAAAAAAAAAAAAAAGAAGAAAAAAGTAAATTGGCTGCAATTCATTCCACAGGCAGAAGTGGCAGATAAAGTAGTCAACAATGCATCACTTCCTCTGAGAGAGATGATTCCCAACCGGATTATGTACGATACTATCCAACATTCACAGCCCACTCATTACATTATGCCTTTTAACAAAGACCGGCTCTATGTTGCTGTTTACTTCCATAAGGACCCCGGAGTGTTTGTTGTCCCAATTTCCCTCATAGGAACTATGTGGTAACCTATTACCAGATACCACTGGGCGTTCGTTGTCTCCCCGAAGGATGAAACTGATGCCAGGGGGAAGACAACAAGGTATCATGTAACCAACAAAATCCTCTCGTGTGACGGGGAACCGAAAGCAACCTGGCAATATGAAAAGAGCCTGCTCTTGGAAGCAGACATGGCGAAGCTCTTGGCTTTGGTGCTTGTCGGTAAGGTCGAAAAGTCAGGGCAAGAGCTTGAGGATTCCCTGCAGAAAGTTCCGGTCGTCCAGGATGTATGACTCCTGTGGAATCTGCCGATTGGCATCCCTATTTACTTAACGTAAACCTAGGTTCCGAGCTGGAGATGCCGGACGTGGACTACCAGCGCCATGGCTCAGCTGGCCCAGGATAATATTCTGAGTGAGCATTCCCTGAATGATTGATCCACCAATGTTAATACATCCCAGGCAAAAGTTCCGTCACGGATTGGGCTGTTATTCAGACAGAGTGCAGAGCATATGCCAGCAAGAAAGAGGTTGAGGGAAGGTACGAGGCTATCACAACGACGGTGGCAACGTATGATCTCATGGCAAGAAAGGAGATCTTGCCTTAAAAGCTAGTACCATCCACATATATACCTGGTATAATCAAGAGGGAATCTGGATTTTCCCAAAATACTCTTTTGGCACTTATCCTGGAGGAGTGCCAAAGGTAGGCTACTTTAACTAGGCCTCCTCACCAAGGCGAGGGTGAGGCTTGGGTGAGGACACGCAGGCTACCTAAGTGCGCCGGGAGATTTGCGAAGTCGGTTAACTAAAGCTGCCCCAAGGCTACTGTATTTACTTAAACGGTTTATCATCAGCTCTCGGCCTCTTAACTAGTCCTTCCGGCTCTGCGATGCTGTGAAGTTTTTGCAAAATGGTGACGGCCATTTCAGAGAAATTCATGGTGAAAAGAACTATCAAACGCTAATAGAAAGACTACCTGTAGTCTCAGTTCGAGTTCAGACAACTCCGCAATAATTCAAGGTCAGCAGAGATTGCAACCGACTGTGGATCAATCCACTGCCATGGTCCTTGAGAGCATTGAACATCTACATGTATTTGGGTCAGCTCATTGATAAGTGTCCGGATAGGTGTTGTTGTTGTATATGAAGACACACCCTTTCTGAGCATAAGGCATTGAGCAATAGGTGTGAAGTGCTGAAAGAGCAACACTGCTCCAGGATATGCATTCATAACATAATTGATGAGAGCATCAACTGTTGTCTTGTGCTGTGCAGAACAGTTCCTATATAGCATATAAGCATATTCAACCAAATAGGGGTTGTGGTATGGGTAGAAATACACCATATAAGCCATATCATCACTACACACAAGCAGCACTGCCAGTCCACAGCAATTTCCGTATTGAGTATGGTTACTCAGAGTATCTCAGTAGGGCTTCTTCTGGTTCCCTTTCAGGGAACTGTATTTGCCAGGATAAATGGTTTCCATGATCAAATCCCAAGCTATAGTTGATATGGGTTGGTTGGCACATCTGATAGCCAGACTCCCTGATTTCTCCTTCTCTTCTAACTCTCTGACAAATGCTTCAAAAAATAAATATAGCAAGTACTTGGTTAATGTGATGGCGGATATGATCCACCAGCGAATCTGTATCAGTCTTTGGCCTGAGGGCCTTAAAATATTCAACACATGCGGCCTGAAGGGCGCCAATTTTTATATCAGGAAGGTCAAGGGCATGTCGGCCTCTTGATTCATTCAACAGCCAACAATCCGAGCAGGCTGCAACCGCATCAGACAGATTTTCCAAGAGAGGATTGCCCCCAGAGACACTGACTCAGCTATTTAGTCTAGCAGCCGTGGCTATCCACTCATGCATGTTCGTGCCTACGATATTATTTATTGGAGGGGCCCGATCCATTGTAGCTAAGTTTTCTACCCCAGGATACTGGGTCTTCAAACAGCTGCGGTTGTCTCATCGTATGCACCTATTGAATGCCTAGGTCATAGCCGGGTCTAGATTGGGAGTTTCCGATTTTCGTTCAGTTGTTTCTCGGCTATGGAGCTTAACCATCGCACCCACTAATTAATATCCAACTACACAGCCAGGCTGTGGTATTTCGAGCAATGAAAGTTTAGGCGTTGTCAGCACAATTAATCTTAACAGACACCAAGGATTGAGCTTCCACACGACATATGGGCATGGTGTCAAGGGGTGTTTGGCGGCATGGTCGGCAGTCATGTCAGCCGCGACCCTTGCTCTGTCAGCGAACCACCCGGAACCCGCAACTCCGGGACTGTACCGCTAGTGCTTCCCGATCGAATCTGCCCAACATGATGGAAGAAGAAATGGAACGCATTCTGGGATACTGAGTGAGACAAAAAAGAACAATCTTTGCATTCTATCAAAGTAGTCTTTCGATAAGCATTTCATGCGACAATCCCGCGCCGGGGCCAAGCAAAGCAAATATCAAGAGGTACGGGGTGTAAAGGACACCATCCAGCGAAAACACTCGTAACGGGGAGGGGAACAAAAATTATAGAATATAGTTGCATGAAGGAACCGGAACCCAAGAAGCCTTTGAGAGTGACATCGATCTAAACTCCTCGGGCTCATAGTCAATTAAGAGATCTATGGGTAAAAATCGAACAGATACCACATATTCAGGACGTTACATAGCGCGATAAAAATTGCTGACGCGCCAATGTATCAAAGGGCTGGGAAAAGAATGGCGTAGAAATACGGTCGAGGTCACCAGAAACGAAATATTTTTAGAGGGCGTTTCTAAGCCTGAACTGGAGTCGCCGTGTTCAAGTATTGGTATAAGCCGTAGCCGATGGCGCCAACGAGGACGAGGATGGCATAGAGTCCGATTCCGAGGCCGGTGGAAACGTCTCCGGAAGGAGCACTGGTTGTCGTGGAGGTCTGGCTTCGGACGGGAGCAGGGTCGCCAGGCTAAAATAGAGAAAGATGAAAAAGAGGACGTTAGTTTCAAACAGCCCTATATGCGAGAGAGAAAAAAAGCACCGATCATATCGCAGCGTACCTGTCTCTTGACCTTTCCGACCAGCAACCCCTCAAGGATTTCGCGAGCCTCATCGCTGTGGCCAACATCCTCGAAAGCTTCTGTGGCATCTTGACCGCCAACGTCTAGAAGAACTTCCTCACCGCCACTGAACAGCAGACAGAACCTTTTGTTAGCCATGGCGAACGCTAAAGTGGTAGGCTCGATGAGAGGAATGGGAACTGGGAGTAGAGACGGAAAGCTCCAAACAGGGCGATGGATACGTACGGATGCTCATCAACGAAGGATGTGACATTGTAAACCTTCTCATTAACGATAAGATAGAGATCTTTCTTAGTGTCGTGAGCGGCGACCTCCCGTAGGGTGAACTCCTTGTCTCCGGCCATTGTGGTTGAGGGTGTACGGCGTGTCTCAGGAATCGAATCTCTTGGGGGTGGGAAGAATGAATGCGGATGCCACAGAGCTGGGGGCTACAGAACGAGAGCGGTGGATGGTGAGAGGAGACGTTGGTTGGTAATTGACGGCGAACAGTTGGGTGGGTAAGACGGTTGAGATATTTTAACGTTGAGGAAAATTTATCGGGCCCAGCCACGGCGCACCCTTACGCACACGGCCGGCTTCTCAACGACAAGGATCCGCTGATAGGCTGCACTCGAATCTCTTCAGCTGCTCCTCAAAAATCCAAACCGGAATACGATCGCTGATTCCTGGAAGCTCTTCCAGGATAACTACCTATGTCGCAGATCTGCGAGGCCTGGCTCGTCAGGTTAAGTACCTCCTAACTCTTTCTACATACAAACGCGAAAGGGACGTGCTATTTGCGGATGCATGGAAAAAGAGGGGAAAGGGACGGACCAGTACTTCGGTGGAGTCTATCGCCAGCGTCTGGAGTTTTGGGGGGAGCTTGGGGGGCTCTGAACCGTGATTTGCTCCCGGCACCATCAACCCATATCCCTTCGAGATCGCGGCGCTCGCCTCGGGAGGATTCTCCGGTTTTCCCAAGGAGCTCCAGCATCAGCCTTGCTAGTTAACCAACCACCAGGTGGGAATCACCCAGTCGCTGTCAGCAATACGTTACTGTCTCTTCCCCCGAGCTCCAAACCCAACACACTCGACTCACCCATGCCCCGGCGGGTTCTCTCGATGCCTGGCGAATCCTCATCATGTCACATGTGAACGCAGTTACATGGAGTTGAACTGGCCAATAGGAGCCTGCTTATTAAGACCAGGATCTCCTTCCCCGGAGCGGATAGTTTCGCCGCTTATGGCTGGATTAGGAATTTTCTCCCGGAGCCCGATCTCGGCATTCACAAACCTTACTATGGAAATCTTTTCAATTGCCACGTCGTCGAGTTTGCAGCTGGCTCTAAAGGATCTATATAGCAGTTTCCCCGTATATTGCATATCTACATAGGTTTTTAAACGGCCACTGTATGTTCTTGTGGTTTCGACCAGCGATGACTGCTCATCTCCGGCCTCCACGCATTCCGTGGAGCCATCGTGAGCCGGAATTCATCCCGCCCTTTCGTTCAGACTCTGAAATGGTCCCGACGACTTTCCGCTCCAAGTTCCAGGGAACCTTATCAACGTGCGGAAATGAAATCCCTCACTTCCAAAACCTCAAGGGTATCGCCCGATTCCTTTGTCAGGGGACGAATTGGGCATTTGGTATTTTTCAAGCCGAGAACATGTAGGCGAGCATGTCAAAGGAAATTTGCGTCCTGGACGACCCAAAACTTTACATGCATCATATTTGTTCCCTTGATTATATCGCCTTAGAAAATCCAACTTCAACCAACCGGTCAACCGGAACTCTCAATCGCGACAACTTTGTCTTCTCATGGCCCTTCAGATATATAAACACAGACAGGATGATCCTGCGAAAAACACCAGATCCCTTTTTGACGTATAATTTGTCTCTGCCAATGATATAGGTAATGGGCTTCTGCGATGCGAACTGATCTGGCGCAGTGAGCGCTATCGAACCTGTGTTCACATCGTCCGCAGCTGCATAATCCTGACTATCAGGTTCTCCACGAGGACGCAAGAGACCCAGTTCCTCTGTGAGCATTTCTTCAAAGGAATCCCACGAGGGCGTATCCCCGTAGCCATAGCGAAGTATAACACGGTACAACCCGGTGATGTTTGTGCTAGTTAGCGTGAAGCGATCTTTCACAGGGACCTAGGAGTTTAATTAGACTACCCGTGCCACAGAGACCGTAAGATGGAAGGGATCCTTACAGAATACTTAAGAACGGGTTTTATCTGAAGGAGGACTGATATCTCATGGGTGGCTTCGAATTTCTTAATAAAATGGTCGAAAACAGGAGGAGACCTAGAATGTGGTTCAATTAGGAACACACCAATGCCTGCTATGTGTCAGTCTCGCTGGGTCTTTTTAATTTATTTATTTGGGGGAGGGGAATGTTGGAGGCCGGACCTCTGATTGATTTAACCGAATACTCCGCCTTTCCTTCGCGAAGCCATAGCTGGTGGCCGTGGCCTGTGAACAGTGTGGAGCGGGAAGCGCTCTCATCTCGCTCTGCATTGAACTGGCATCCCTCACCGTAGCTCCATAGGAGTAAAGTACTCGTCAAGATGGCCGCCATGATAGCCGTAAACCAGCCCCCAGCTGGTATTTTGGCAAGAGCAGCTGCCAGGAAAAAGAAATCAAAGAAGCCGATAAAGACAAAAACCGGAAGGATGATCACAATATGCAAATTCCAGATGATAATAGCCACAAGGGCAACAAGCCAAGTCGTGATGAAGCTAACCCCGACGACGCATACACCATATACATGGCCAATACGAGTAGTCTGTGTCGCTCGAATCAGCATGCATTCTAACACCCTCGTGAAGTTCCCGACACTCACTGTTTTAAACACTGCTGTAACCGCTATTGCCCCTGCCATCATCAGCCAATTAGCCAATGGGATATATATCTGGCTCGCCACATGCTTTGATGTGTGGACGCGCCTCATTCTAGGAAGATAAGCCATCCGTATAGCCTGGGAGATCAACTGGAAAGTGCCCGTGAGCATTGCTTGGGAGGCCACAATTGACGCTAGGATTGACAGAATAAGCGTCGGCCAGTACATTCCAGGGGGGACCGCTTTGAACAATGGGTTCACGATCGCATCTGGGTGCCAGCTTATAAACGCGGCCTGGCCGCAATAAGTAACAAGAAGACAAGGTAGGGCAAAACAGAGCCACGAAACCCGAATCGCCCTAACAGGAACATTTAGCGTTAATTCTCCCCGTTATCACCGACGAAAAACTTGCTTAACTGAAAATGCGCCAAGGTCGGCAAATAGAGCTTCAACTCCTGCAATGGGGTTAGTGGATGCATAGGGAAAAATGGCTGAAAATAGGAGAGGGACCTGTAAATGCAAGCAAAACACCTCCAAGAGAACGCCAGCCATCAAATTTATGTCGAATTATATAATCAATTGCGAAACTCGGGGAAAACGCCCTAATCACATTATGATCGAATAGGACCAGATTCTTATATGTTAGAACCAACAGGGATTGAACGTGATAGGGAGACGAACATATACTCCAAAAGCCATGTTGAATATCAACCAGACCATTACAATGGGGGCGAAAAAGTTGCTCAGTCTCGAAACGCCGAAAGGCTGTATGGCGAACAGAAGCACAATCAGGAGACAGGCAAGCGCGACGACAATATTTGTGGACATGCCGGGTGCAGCTATTTTGATTCCTAGACAGTATTTCAGCAGGGCTCATCTGATACAACACTGAAATTTGCATACCCTGCACTGCACCGAGAATTGACTGTGCTGGAGTAATGACCCCATCTGTAGAGGCCATCAGCCAGGCTCAAGAAGCCTTCTCTAGATCGTAGCCTACCAGACATCACCATGCAGACCCCCAGCACAGCCAGAATCGTCACTAAACCTTTGGCCATAGCACTGCGTTTCAACGCATTTCTAGCCGAGCGATTGAAGCTTTTCAGCCGCTTTGCAGCATAGATTTTCTCGTCATCGTCCTCAACCATTGAATCTCGCCAGTCCAATTTAACCTGAGCCATTGTCAGCGCCAGAGCATATCTTCAAGGGAGTGCGACCTTCACTCTGGGTCACCGTGAAAATCGCATACATGACGCCTAATAAGAGAAAGCAACGCAAAGGAGCCACCTTCGCCATGGTTGTTGGCACATAGAACAATCCCCACGTACTTTATCGTAGCGATGAGGATTAAGGCCCAGATGATAAGTGACAGTGCACCAAGCAGATCCGGCGAGCTCGGTGGAGAAGCAAAGACCGCCGAGAAGACGTAGAGAGGGCTAGTCCCGATGTCTCCGTAAATTGCACCGATCGATTGATATGCTAGCCTACCAGGCAATAGTAAGCGTTCGCCCAAAAACTTGGGGGAGTGTGCAAAGCGCAGCTTTTTTTGGGGCGGGAGGGGATATGGCAAACCACTCACCACATTGAAGCCCAGCCATGAAGCTCCTTGTACATATATACCCACCATTAGAGCTAGTTTATAAACGAATCCAAAGGTCGTACGGCCTCACTGGGGTATCACATTATGCTCATACCTGCTTGGGGTGATGCCCATGTAAAGGGTCTGCCGAAGCATCCCCTTGATCTACTGCGACGCCATCATGCTCTTGGTCGAAGATGACGCCTGATCTAATGAATAATGGCAATCTATCTTCCACACTAATCCTTTCTGCACCATGGTGCGTTATATCCCCGTCCTCGTCATCCTCTTCGACGGGGACATAACCACCATCAGCCATACCTTGTCCACAAGGGAAGGGGATCAATGGAATTCAGAGAGGGATGTAAAAATATGTGGTTAGTTGAGCACCCTAGTTTAACGATGAAAACGATGAAGAACAGACAGCGACTCGCACACAGGTTGATATGGAATATGTGCTGTCCTCCACTCCTTATTTAAGAAATCCACCAAGGTCGCCGAGTGGACACTCTTCGACTCCGTCACGCCAAGCCTCCTCAGCCGGGTTCTAGGGGATAGCCGCCAAGCCCTCAACTCGACCGCAGGTTGCTGGAGCTGATCAAGGCATTTGTTTCAAGGAATGAAAGGGAAAAAGGGAAATGCAAAAGTTGTGCGCACTCCCTAAGTTAGCAACCTTGAAACTTGGATAACTGATGTTTATTGGTGCTATTAATCGTCGTAGTTCAAACCCTACATATACGGTTCTCAAACCTACCCCCTCTAAAGCCATAGTCTAATATTACCTAGGAACAACATTCACTAAGTCCGCTAGTATTTGCGTGTAGCACGGAGTATTTAAAACAGTTACTGGGCTAAAATAATGCCAAGAGAAGAAAGATGATCATGGAACCGTTTTTCGACAATAAATATAATTTATTTCACACTTAGTAGATTGGTCAGATTACAAATAAGAAGCTAATGGTCGTAATAATTCAACACAGTATCTTCGCTAGATCGTACTTCGATAAGTGTTTCACCGGTAGAACGCGGCCGGGTTTGAAGTTGGGCTATGCTGTTGTGTTGTAGGTGGTTGATAAGCTTGGTAGCCACCGCCATATGCTCCTTGCGATGGCGCGACAGATGGTATGGGTGGAGGTTGATGCATAGGCGCTGGTGGAGCAAAGGATTGCTGAGGAGGTTCTTGCGGTGTTTGTATAGGATATGGCGGGTTGGATGACGGTGCTTGTGGTGGTGGATTTTCCTGGGGGGAATAGGGTCGTTGCGTAGGCTCTGCTCCTGTCGCTTGTTGTTGTTGAAGCTCTTGCTGCATCGCGGGATGATAGGAGCGCTGGATAGCCTGGGGAGCATTTCCTTGCGGGGAGTCATAGACTGATGTTCCCAGCTCTTGCGGATGATCGTAGGTTGTTTTCGGAGGATAATGTGTCGTTGCGCCTTGGGAATATGCGTCTTGTGGGGGTTGCGAGGGTTGCTGTTGTGGTAGCTGCATGGAGCCTGTAGTTGTGTGTTTTCGAAAATCCGGGGACTGAGAGTCGGGAGGATAAGGAAGTGTGCTCGGTTCTGCCCCATAATATCCCGGGGTGTTGTGAGGAGCACTTTGCGGGTCTAATGAAACACGTTAATCAGAAGCAGCCTTTGAACCGTGACACACAATCACCGACCTTGTGACGGCCTTGGCGTATAATACCGCTGCGGCTCTTGTTGTGGCGGTGCGTGGTGAGGATATCCTGGGTGGGTTCCTGAAGGTGGATAGGCAAAAGAAGGTTGTGCAGGTCGGTTATAATGAGACTGCGCTGGGTGGGTCATGGACGCTTCCAATAATGCTTCGTAATCCCTTCGAGCCTTGATAAATTTCTCGTTGAGCTGAGTAAAGTCGTCTGCAAACATATTAGCCAAGACCGTAGAATGGTGACGCAGAAATCCTTACCCTTTTTCTTAGAATACTTGCCAATCAGCTCTATAAGCTTGGGCCGAATCGCAAGCGTCGAGTGATATAATTTGGTGATTTCTTCATTCTCCTGTACATTCAACTCGGGGCTGCTGGTACTCAACAACGCCAGAAGCTTTTCCACATTCTTTATCTCAGCGAATACTTCAGCTTCCATCTGGGCCTCTCGCTGTAACTCCTCCTGGGTTGGATCTGAAAGCTTTTCCACATAATTTAATGGAAATATGCCAACTTGACCCCGTAAAGAACCCTTCCACCAATCCTTATAAACCGATTCCAAGACAGCTATGATGTCGCCTTTGCGAAATTGAAGCTCTCCGGGCTCCGAAGGCTGGAAATCATACAAGGCGCGAACGCGAGATACTGTCGCAGCGGTCGTGCCGGATGGAATACCTTGCGAGGGTGCAGCTTCGGCTTGAGCGGAGGTAGTCACAACATGCTGTGAAGAGCCATCTTGTTGTTTAGATGTTTCTGACTGTTTCTCTTTGATGGACAACGCAAGCGCCATCTGGAGTTCCTCTTCTTCCTTTTGCCTGTCTAGTTCTGTTATTTGGCGCTTTGTTGGTTTCGAGGGAGGTTGAATGTTTGGATCTGATTAGAAATATGTAAAACATTACTCTCTACCTCATATAATTGTGGGAGCTGTACGTACTCTGCGACTTCAACTTCATGTAAGCATGCTCCATGATTCCGAAATCGGGATTGCTGGAAAACATCTCCGTCCATTGTTCCATATGTTCCAGTATCTTGGACTTGACTTGTGGATGGGTATTCTATGGGAATGACGAAACTCGAGTTAGACCGGCATCCTTCGGGTGATAGTTAAGGAATGGAGAAACGCACTCGGTCATTGGCTAGTCGCAAAAGGGCATCTGTGAAACTTTTTGACGCCAACTCGCGATGCGCTTTTGGACCGCAATTTTGCGACAGGGCGTTGGCAAGCTATGGTAAACGGGACTGATGTTAGCCGAACGTAACATGACTCGCAAAACACAATGCAAGATGGGGGCGAACCTCGAAGGTGTAAAGCTGCACATTTGCATTGCGATGAGCAAGCCGTTTGATCATGGAGGCAACCGCATCTTTCGCCCTATACAATAGAGTCAGCTAGCCCGCTTGGGTATATATTGCCATTAAGTTGCGAGCGGCAAGTTGCTGTATCTTCATACCCAGACTCATCTGCAGAAACCTTGTCACACACATCCTTAAATCGTGTATTTGGGTCAGCTCAATAATGCCTGGAAGGCCGCAAGGCGGTAAAAGAAGGCAAAGCAATATGCCACAGGGTAGAATATATCATACAAGTATGTATTCCCAGTTCTCGGAGGTAAGATTTTCATCGGTCGCCTTGGCTGCAAAATGACAAATGTCAGAATCCTCTCCCCTCTAAAAGCACACGGAGAAAAAAGAAATGAAGTTGGTGTGCAGCAGACGTACCGACGATGTCATCATACGCATTCTGCTGCGCGCGAAACATGGCCGAGGACCGAGCGCAGTTTCTTCAAAGTCGAAACAAAAGCGCAGCGTGAAGAATCAAGAAAAGCAAGTTCGTCGTGTAGGCAGAGAGAAGTACCTCTCGAAAATACCTCTCAAAGTCGTCGTGATGGCGGCGGTGTGCAATGGAAGCAATATGGAAGCCTTGAGGTGTCGGGGAGATGTGTAAACCTAAGCTACGTAATCCGAGTGCCCAAAGCACGGCTTTTGCACCGTGTGCAAACCAAGCGGCAGAATTTAGTTTGACAGATCGGGACAGGCGCTAGTTAGAGCGAATAACAAAACAAAATAAAAATATATGTCAGTCCGAGAGCTCTGTCGGCGGGAAGAAACGAAAAATAGTGTGCGGATTGGGATGGTGTTGCTGCGTGGGACGGTCTTCCCCCTCCCATTCTCAGCTGCGGTTCGTACCCCGGGACCCGCCGGATGATGTAAGCCGACTGTCCAGGCAGAGCGCCGCCACCCGCAGCCAGGGTAATGCTTCTTTGAGGACATCAACATTAAAGATTGATAGAACTAAAAAGACGCATTGAGGATTCAGCTTTGAAGCTTTATTTGTAGGTAAATAGCCAAACGCTGTCAACCCCGCCTTGTGCTTTGAACCCTTCACACTTTACCCGACAGAAAAATCGCAAGCCATACAAACTCTGCATCACAGAGTTGGAGACATGCAACGATAAAACTAAGCATACATGTTGCCTGGCACACCTGGTACGTTTTGCCTCCCATATTGCTAGACAATAAATCCGGCAGATGCCATGCCTTCAATATCGAGGAGACATTATAAATCATTCAAATATAACGGTATCAAAAGAACTATAAGACTGGTAATGGAGAAAGTTGCAAACACTGAGGTGAAAATTTCACATGGTGAGAGGGAATTTGAGAAGTGGCGATCACAGCATGGGGTAGAAATAACAGGGTGCGAATACAAAGTGCTTCCTTGGGGCGCGCCTCCCAATTCAGCAAAGATAGATCACTGGTCGAACTTCATGACGCCATAAACTCCTGGCCACTTGAGACATGAATAGCGAAATCCACCCGAGAAAAGTAATACTGGAAACATGCAGTAGTCGCGGTATGTTTTTGTAGCAGCCTGAAATATCCCCTTTCGTTAAAACAATTTTCTTAGAGTCCAGCGGAGAAGCGAAAGGACCGCAGAAATCTTAGACAGCAAGACGGCGCATGAGATCATTCAGAGTCAATAAATTCTATTGCGGGTATCGGAAGATGGCTGTTGGTATCAGCAGAAATCGTGATGGTTGGGTGTCGTTGAAGGTGGTTCGTGTATGGCGTTGCCTTGTTAGACTTGTCCATGTATCGTTGAAAGAGGAACTGCAATCGTAAATTTGGGTATAACGCATCAAGTGGTTGGGTATTTCTAGAAGGTAAGGGGTCATTGGAAATTCAGTAAACGATCGGAATCATGAAGAATCAGATGCCGCCCTTTTGGGCTTTCTCTTGAGCTCTGCTAATTCTAGCAGCTCTGACAAGCGGTGCGAGACTCGACAAAGGTTCACAATGCGACATGAACGGATGCTATTGAGAAAAAGCAACAATCAGTTGGCGACACCTAGGACAGGCTGAGACAGGCTCTACATACCGTAAGCAAATCATGAGCTGACGCTCGCTTCTCAGGATCGACCCTTAGGGCAAGATGTAGAAAATCCCTAAAAACTGGCGATAGATTTTGCTCATCCTTTATAGTTGGAGTGCCGTTTGTTGCAATCAGATAGAGGGCTCTCAAAGGGGATTCAGTAAGGTACGGTGGTTCTCCTTCAATCATCTCGATCGCCATAATCCCCAAGCTCCAAATATCTACCTTACGGCCGTATTCTTTGCGGGTGACAACCTCCGGGGCCATCCAGTAAGGTGTTCCGACCATAGTATTGCGTTTGTTATGTGACTCATTTATCTGAGCACAAAACCCGAAGTCGGCTATGTGGCGTAAGCAATGAAGCTTCTAATTTCAAGAGAGAGCATACACACTTAAT